AAGCGCTTCCTAGCAGTGCGGGTCCGGAGGAGGGGCGGGATGGGGGGCGCCCTTCCCGCCCACACTCTCCCTCCTTCCCGGTTTCCCCAAACTCCGGCCCTGGGCGCCCTCTGGTGTCGTCTTTCCCACTTTGCAGTCAGAATTTCCTTAGGGCGTTTTGTAAGATAAACTATAATATTAATGAAAAGTGTAAAATGTATAGAGTTTTCAAGAAACTGTGTTCTACTTCCAGAAAACGGTCACTTTAACTTTGTAAATATTTATCTAAAATGATATTTACAAAACTGTGATATATATTATTTGATTGTATATGTATAACTGTAAATACATTTGTACCTCTCTTGTATTCTAAAATAAAAATTACTTGGAACATTTATCACTTAGCATCTGAGCGGGTCGACACTTTTTGTCTGCATGAAAAAGAAATGTGGAAAGTGCCTAGAAGCTGAAGAGGGCGGGAGGAGTCGTTCCGTTGACTGGTTGTGCCATCTGCAAGGAAAATTCTTTCTGTCACAACCGGAGTGTCAGCTCCCAAAGAGATGAGCGGCACGGTGCAAAGCAACCGGGGACCGCAGAAGGGGCTGGACAGATTCCTGCTTTCCAGGTGACTCCGAAATATCAGTACCCCACTTCGTCACTTCCCCCAAGTTGTTACACTTTTTTTCCATTTTTGTGGACAACTTGAAGAAATTCAAAAGCCAGTGGGGGCAGGCCAAGATGGCCACCAAGTGCCCTCCCAACGCCTAGAACTTCCAGATGTTCTGGTCACCCATTCCAGACCCTCCTTGGGGAGGACCAAAGAGCAGGGACACCATCAACACAGGGTCAGGTCTGGCTCTTCCTCCTTGGAGGAGGTATAAGAAGGGAATGTGAGTTCACACCTGTGCTTCAGCACATGCCAGCCATTAGGGCGTCACCCAGCCCACTGGCTACCTCAGGCTTACTTCTCTGTGCATCCTCATCTAGCTGTGTGTGCGCGTGCACACACACACACACACACACACACACACACCTGCCAACACTGGACTGCACACTTGTATACACAGGCCATCCCCTTTTGGAGCTTCAGGTGTGTACTCCTGCAGACCCCCATACTTTGGGGGACTGGTCTTGTGCCCTGGCAGGTGGGGGCATAGGTAGAGATCTACACTTGATGTGTTCATTTGCAGGTCCCATCTGGAGTTTTCTTCCAAAGACGGTGGCAGAAGTCACACTAAGTACTCCTTCCCCTCCTCCTGTCACAAAACTCGCCTCTCCTCTGATACCTGACCACTTGGCTTCTGATGCCTCTGGTGGCCCTTCGTCCCACTGCAGCCCCACCCAGGACTTTTGTTCCCATGACCAAAGCTATCTGTCAGGAAACCCATTCCCTTTGGCTGCAGATGGGTGCAGTAGAATTAAATACCCGTACCTCCCAGACAGTAATGCCAGAGTCCTAAAGAAGCATCTGCAGAGAAAAGGGTGTGTGTGTGTGTGTGTGGCGGGGGTGGGGGGCTGGGCTTGATAAAAATCTAAATCACTCTCCATAGGTAGTTCTGTTGTGAAGTCTCAGCTGCAGATCAGAGGGGCCACAAGTCCGTCTTCAGAACCCACCTGGTGGCAGCAGACTGTAATTGCAGACTAAAGCATGATAAGCCTGCTGCTGACCTGCTTCTACAGAAATGTCCTCCCACTGTAGAGACACAAGGATGAGCCGATAGGAATCATGGTCCCAAAGAATTTGCTATACTCACAATTCCCTAGAAAAGAGGCATGTCACACCACGCAGGGCCACATGGGGGAAGCACTGGGGTCGATCAGGAGGCAGAGAGAGCAAAGGAAAAATGTGGGCAGGAGACTTTACTAGTTTCCATAGGAGGGAATGGATGAGGCAGCGTGGGCAGGCTTTGGACTGGCTAGTTTGAATAATTTCAGTGGTCTCTGAGGCAGAGGCACTGTCCCTAGCTCTCTGGTAGCTGGCCCTGGGGTGATTAGGGTAGGTAGACAGTGGTCCAGAGTGTGAGATTGAGGGTTATTTCAGATAAGGTGGTCAGGGAAGGCTTCTCAGAGAAGCTGATATTTGAGTCGAGATCTGAGTGAGAAGAAGTAGCCAGCCACACAAGGACCCGGGGGGAAGAGCATTCCATGCAGAGAGCGCCCAAAGCACACAGATCCTGGGGTGGTGACGAGATTGGTAGCAGAACCAAGAGGAGACCAGTACTTATGGCTGCAGTGTAGTGAGTAAGGGAGCCAATTAAGAGGCGGGTGAGGTCAGAGACAAGCAGGGGCTGCAATGATGAGTTTGGATTTTTTCTGAGTGTAAGGGAAGCTGCCAGAAGCCTTCTAAGCAGGAAAGTGGTTTAAATTGATCCGTTTTAAAAGCTCCCTCTGGCTGCTGTATGGAGATTGGGTGGTAGGAGGAGCAAACGCAGAATTAGGGAGATGAGCTAGGAGGTGACGCCTGGTGAGAGATGAAGTTGAACGGCTTGGGGTGGTGGCCCTGGAGATGCACAGATGGGGAGGTAGATGGATGTGGGGGGAATCTGTGAACGTTAGACCCGATCAGCCATTAAGACACCTTAGGCAATTAAAATACATGCTCAGACTTCGGGACCCCACCTTTGTAGAACCCCACTGCCTAGTCGGGGCTCAGGAATCTCTGTTTCTAACAAGCCCCCCTGGGATATGCGGTCTGTTTGCGAGCGCCCGCTTGTTTCCACGGTGTGAAGAGGCAGGTGTGATTCAGAGAGGGGAGAGCTGGCGTGGAGTCTGGAGTCTTGGGTTCTAGTCCCAGCTGCAGGTCTGTTGTTGGGACTCGGTGGCCCCAAACAACCGTCAGGGATACCAATGCCTACCTCCAAGATGAGCTGAGTGCGAGGACTAAGTAACATAATGTTTGTACAGCACTCGGCAAAGCACCAGGCCCTCCAGAAGTGTCGATAAAGGGCGCAGGCTCTGGGGTAACGCAGGTGCAGGTGGCAGAAGTATTGGCCCTGCCACCAACTGCTATGGCAATTCTAGTCCTTTTTGGGCCTCGGTTTCCCTCTCTGTAAACAGGTATCTGCAATGGACTGAACGTTTTCTGTTCCCCCCAAATTCATATATTGAAATCCTAATCCCCAAGGTGATGGTATTAGGAGGCGGGGGCTTTTGGGAGCTGATTAGATGCTCATGAATGTGATTAGTGCCCCTATAAAAAGACACCCCAGAGAGCTTCCTCGCCCCTTACACCATGTGAGGACACAGAAGACGGCTATCTGTGGACCAGAAGGTGAGCCCTCACCAGACACCAAATCTCCCAGTGCTTTGATCTTGGACTTTACAGCCTTCCAAAAGGTGAGAAATAAATTCTTGTTGTTTATAGGCCACCTAGTTCAACGGTATTTTGTTATAGCAGCCCAAAGGGACTAAAACGGTATCCATTAACCCATTGTGACAGGCTCTGTAAACTTGAGTGCTATGAGAATGGGAGGGGATAAGGCTACGTCCCTCCCAGGATGAAACTGAATGATGTCAGGACTACGCTCCACTTGGTCTGGGGGCATTCCCAGGCCTAGCCCCCTAGCTGACCAGGCCGTGCTGGCTCAAAGGACACCACCGCCCTCTTATGGTCGAAGCCAGAATCAACAGATGGCCCCTTCTCATACTTTCTTGGTTTCTCACATTTTTCAGGCGAGGAAGTGGGCCAGTGTCTGACCTGCCCACTTACCTAGGGACCTCTGGGGCACTAGAATTGATATCATCTGGCAGGGTTGGCTTTTTTGACAAATGTAGTCATGATGGGGCACTAGAATTGATATCATCTGCGGCCTGGCAGGGTTGGCTTTTTTGACAAATGTAGTCATGAGCTTTGCTGAGGTGAAAGACATGCTGTCTTTTGGAGATTTATCAAACAATTGGTCTGATGGATCTTCAGGAGGCAGTGGGCCTGATGTTGTGAACACAGTGTGTGGGGCTGATGCAAGTCATTTCATTTAATCCACGTGCACGAAGAATTATCATCTCCAATTTCCTGACGTTGAAACTTAGTTTGTTGTGACCGCTATAAATCATGCGGAGCAAGGGCAAGGGAGAGGGTAGTGGGGGTGGGAAGAAGGGACAAAAGAAACAGTCCTGTTAACCAGGGTGTGGAAATACAGCCACACAGATCTGTCCACCACTGACTCCTGAGAACAGCTCCTGGCACACAGAGGGCGCTCAATTCACTGTATAAGAAAATACCAGCGAAGGTGTTTGTATTATGTCTGCACTTGCCTTTCCTACTAAATATGCCTGCTTTGCAAGGTTTGAGTATTTTCTTAGACGGTTTCTTGCTTTTACAAGAGAAATGTTAGCGTCAATCAGCTCACTCAAAAAAGTTAGTGTGAAAGAACGGAGCGAGCACCCCAGCAGTTTGAAGGTACAGGTAGGTGATGATTGGTGCTGAACTAGCATCCATGAGATGGCTGTAATGTAGAACTGGCGGTACCAGGAACAGGAAGAAAGGGGCTCTTCTTTCTGTCCAAATAGTGATTTCTGTAGCTCCCACCTCCTGGTCCGCCTGAGCTCGCTATACAAAAACATCAGATTTTAGCAGCTTAGAGCTGGAAGGAAACCCAGAGGTCCATTTCTCAATTATCTCTAACCCTGGTAAACAATAAATGGGATGACGACTACGAGACAATTTTGGTAAAAAGTCAAACACCCGCAACATGAGATTTTATCCCACAGGTGCGTACTTCCTCGCAGTAAAAACGGCAACTCGCCTCCCTCTGTCCCTCGTGTTAACCCGCTGGTTGCCAATAGTCAGCATGGCCGCCACACCGTGAGTTCCCATTGGCGGCTGCTCTGAGGCCCCGCCCCTGCACGCCCCGCCCCTCTGAGCGGAGGCCCGGAATTGCGGAGCCGGATATCGCGGCCCTCGGCCGGACTGCGCCTGCGCAAGTCATTTCGCGTCAAGATGGCGATGGAGATGAGGCTTCCTGTCGCTCGTAAGCCTCTTAGCGACAGCCTGGGTCGCGAGAGTAAGAAGCACCTGGTGGTGCCCGGGGACACGATCACTACGGACACGGGCTTCATGCGGTACGTGGGGACCTGGGGGCTTGGCGGCCACAGAGGCGGTTGCAGGGCTCTGCACGTGGCCTGCCAGCCGAAACCTGGGCCTCTGTCCCCTTGTGTCAAAGCCCCCGCGAGGCCCAGGGCACATCTCCAGAGCATCCCAGGCGCCTGGTTTCAGAGGCCTCGGGCTTCTACTCCCTGCATCTTGTGTGTCCCCGTCTGCGTTTGTTTCGGCCCCTTGAAACGTTCCTCTCGGCCTCTGGTGGCCGTGACTCTTTGGTCCTCTGCCTGAGGTCCAGTTCTCTGAGCTTTCCTCGTTGGAGACCTGGAAAACTGTCGGAGGGTTAGGAGCAGGGGCCTTAATGGGGATGGTGAGCGTTCCTGACGTGGCTTCTTCCAGGTGCACGGTTTTGTAATCGGTCCCTATTTGGGCTCAGGACAAACAAGTCTATCGTGCTACATGCATTCAATATACACTGAGTAGTGCAGTACGTTGTAGTTAAGAGGGCAGGCCCTTGAGTCAGACAGTTTGGGTTTTAGTCCTGCTGCTATCACGTTACCTCTCCAGGATCAGTTTCCTCAATCGGAAAATTGTGGTAATAACAGTAACTGTTTGAGAGGATAGTGAGGATTAAATGGGATAGTAATTAAGAAGCAAAACCCACCATTATATCACCATCATGGAAAAACACTATTGGTATTTCAGCCTTTTTGAGGGAGGGGGCACATAGGTACATATTGGAGGGGGTACAGCATTTACAGAACTGCCTTTTAACCTTTTAGTTTGAGGTTTGGGGATCCTGGAAAATCTTAAGATTTAGTTATTCATTCACACATTAACATATTTGTATTAGCTATGGTTTGGGTACAACACTTAACAAAGTGGAAGTGACTGTCCTGGTGGAGTTTATATTCTACCAGGGAGAGACAGATAATAAACAATAAACAAAACAAATAATTTGTCCAGACTGTTTGGTGATAAATGCAGTGGAAAAATTAAAAGTCCAGCAGGGTAAGTGGAATGTGGTTGGGAATGTGGTGCGGGTGGTGGCAGCGGGGAGGGTGACTATTTTAAATGGGACAGTCAACGTAGGCCTGATGGAGAAAGTGACATTTGTGTAGATGAGTAAGACGAGGGAGATGTCCAGGTACTCTCTAGGGAAGGAGTGTCCAAGGCAGAGAGAGTAACCAGCACAAAAGCCAGGCTCTTAAGGCCAGAGGAGCCTGTTAGATTGAGGAGTACATCGTTCTGGGCGGGAGTGATCATCTCAAGTGTTAACCCCGGTGTCCTTTGCATCGTCATCTTGCAACAGGGGCCATGGGACTTACATGGGGGAAGAGAAACTCATTGCATCTGTGGCTGGCTCTGTGGAGAGAGTAAACAAGTTGATCTGTGTGAAAGCTTTGAAAACCAGGTGAGAACACAAGGTGTGTATTCTTTCTTGTGGCATCCGTGTTGGCACAACCAGGGCTTTTCTGCCACCACCCCCCCCCCCACACACACACCCGCGTGCCCTGTCATTCTGCAGGTCTTCGATTTGGAACACATATAGATGACTGTAGGTATGTGTGGGCTCCAAAGCTTTCCCCACGTTACTTGACCTCTGCAAGCCTTTGTTACCTCCTCTATGAAATGAGGATAATATCACGACCTACCTCATAGGGTTTTCATTAGAATTCATTGAAAAGGTGCATGTAAAGTACTTAGCACAGGGCCTACTACCTAGAAGGGCTCAGTAAAGGTTAGTTCCAGAAAGGATGCCACTGGGCTTGGAACCATGAGAGCAAGGAAGAGTAGGAGCAGATGCAGACAGAGCTGAGATGGGTGGATGGCCTGCCTTGTAGCCCTGATAAGCAGTTTGACTTCTGCTTGTGTAATCTTAGCTACTGTGGGGGCGTTGAAAGGGGACAGGATCACGCTTATGGAGACAGATTAGGGGTCTGTTTTCATCACCTGAAGGGATGGTGGCTTGGACTAAGGCCGTAGCAGTAGAAGTGGGAAGTAGTGATTACTTCTGCGTATATTTTGTGTTCTGAGTGTTTTTATCTTGGAAGAGTGTTGGCTTTCGTATTCGTTGATGTTTTCTAAATATGGGACCGTGTCTGTGCATAGAGATAGTTTTACTTCTTCCTTTCCAGTTTGGATGCCTTTTCTGTGCAGTTTGAAGGTAGAGCCAGTAGGATCTGCTGCCGGGTTTGTCCTGGAGCATGGGGTGGGGGGTAGGGGGGCGACGACATCTCAAGGGCTCCTCTGAGGACTCCAAGGTTTTGAGCAGTTGAGCAACTGGAGGGATGGAGTTGCCTTTCACTGAGATGGTGTGGATGGGGACAGGGCTACCTTGTGCGAGAGAGGGTGAGAGGCTGCTGGGACACTTTGTTACATTAGTCGTGTAAATGGAGATGTTGCCTAGCCAGCAGTTGTCTAGAGTCAGGAATTCAGGGTGACGGTGCAGTCATCACTGGTATTTAACTCCTCTAAGTTGGATGAGGGCACAAAGAGGTGAGTGCGGGCTGAAAAGAGAAGAGATCCAAAGACTGGGCCTTCTGCATGGAACCTGTTGTTCGAATTGGGGTGAGGAACCAGCAAAGGGGCCTGAGATGGACAGACGGTGTAGGGGGGACGGTGAGTAGACTGGGTGGTGTTCTGTCTCCATCTCCTTTCTCCCCCCGTGGCTGATGCAAACCCATCTGTGTTCCAGAGCCCACTCGAAAACATTCCATGCTTATTATTGCCATGTAATTAACAAAATAGAGATTCAGGCTGAAGGAATTACTTAAAATTATTTTGGAATAATTAACGGAGACTTTATACATGTAAGAACATTTAAAATGATCAGTTCCCGAGAATAAGTACGAACAGCATAGTTCTGTGGATTTACTAAATGTGGTGCCTAATTAGGGTCCTCGTCCTGTTTCACTGAAATCTCAGATGGTGCTTCGTTTCATAATTAAGTCTTTTCACCTTTTGTTTTATCTTTCAGATACAATGGCGAAGTCGGAGACATTGTAGTGGGGAGAATCACAGAGGTAAAGTCAGTATCAGATTGGTTTTTACAAGTAAAAGCAAGCTGGTGATGTAATGAATGGGATAGTCATTCCGTGTGTAGTATGTGAACGAAGCATTCATTGCATTTGGCTCATGTGTGTGACCTTTGATGTGAACACCTGGCTTGTTACATTGGGATTACTAGTCACTTACGGTGTGAGGGCTTGCCCATGAAAGATGTGTCCAGGTGTGGAATTTCTGTTTGTAGGTTCAACAGAAGAGGTGGAAAGTGGAGACCAACTCTAGGCTGGATTCAGTCTTGCTTCTCTCGTCCATGAACCTTCCCGGAGGAGAGCTGGTGAGGGGCTCCAGCTATGACCGTGTAGTTTGCTGTCGAGGGCTCTGGGATCCTCTGGTCCACCAGAGCGCACTGCGTTACGCTGAGGCTGCCCCACTGACTCCTGTGTGTCTGTGAGGTTTGCTGCTCTGATGTACTTGTGGGCTTTTCACTTGGCCCAGGCCTCCCAACATAGGCAGCAGTGGGGCGTGGTAAGATCTGCAATGTCCGTGGGGAAGAATACCAAAAGGGAGCTGCGAAGAGAAGCTCTCATGCTTGGTGCCGATAATTGTCCTTTTTCGGGTGCATCATCTTTGCATGGACGTGTTCCTTGTAAAGGTGTGTTTAGTTTCCATGAATTGAGTCACATTTGGTTATTCTAGGCAACTGCAGCAGGGAAGCTGCAGCTTTTCGTAAGATGCCGTGGTTCCCCTCTACCTTCAGCCCACCACGTATTCACAGGCTCACTGTGCTTGGTTCTGCGGGGAATGCAAGGCAGAGGAGGCGTGCTCGAGTTCCTGAAAGCTTACAGACTAGCAAGGGGGTATGCGGTAACATCCAGACACCTGACAGTCGAAGAATAAACAAGCGTGTGATTGTACAGAAGGATTCATTTCAGTGAGAGAAGCTCATAGGAAAGATGGGCATTGAGATGCAGGATGGACAGAATTTCACTGATGAACTCCGGATGTCTGAGATAAAGGGCAGTGGATGAGCAAAGATACCGGAAGGCCAGAGGTGGAGTGTGGAGGGCTGCCACGGAAGCTAAGTGTGGAAAGCAGGCTGGGCTACCTGGGAGGGTTTTGAATATCGTGGAAGGAGTCTGAGTCTTATTCAGAGGAAGGAGAGAAGCAGTGCGAAGGACTAAGTGGTTACCACTCGTTTCCTTGAGTGGCGCAGGTCACCCGCCCTAGTGTTTAAATATCGTGGCTGGCTTCAGAGAGCTCAAGAGGAAGTGAACGAGAAAGAAGGTGGAGAGAGATCTTTCTGTAGGATCCGACTTAAGTAACGTTATCTCTGTGTTTCAGAGGAGGAGATCTGCAGAAGATGAGCTGGCAATGAGAGGTTTCTTACAGGAAGGAGACCTTATCAGTGTATCCTGCACCTTGCATGCCAGCATCTTCATGCTCTGTGTGGACCTGGGGAATGGGCTTAAAGCGTATGTCTCCGACAGGAAAAACATGTAATCTTTGCGGGGATCTGAGCCTAGATCAGGTGTCAAGGGCCCTGCTGCAGCCCTTCTCCATCTCCTTAATCCAGGCCGACTCTCCAGTTCTCATTCAGATCTAACGGTGCTGAGTGATTTCTTCAGGTCTTGGGACTTATAGTGGCCCATGCTTTAAACTAGACTCAAATATTCTTAATGACAATTTTATATCACGATATTCATGACAACCAGGATGTCCTCTGAGTCCAGGACTGCCAAGTTGGGGGGTAGGAGGAAAGGCTGGAGAGGTGGGGACGGGGACACAGGGGAAGCAGATGACATGTATATGTTCCTTCATCGCCGTGGCCAGGCTGAGGTGCAGGCGGTGTTCTCTGACGGGGCCGTCTCTCTGCACACGAGGAGTCTAAAGTACGGAAAAGTAAGTTGGGCTCTCACGCTCCTGCTCGCTGACCGACACTTCAGATCCATTTCTGAATCCCCAAAGTGTTCTGGAATTCTGACCCAAAGAAGCCTCGAGTTAAGCATTATGGGCTGGCCTCCCACGGACGGGCTGACTCACAGGGTCGGGGGCCAGGAGCGTTGTCATGGACGGCAGCTTTTATCCTCTCCCTACTGAGGAGGCTGTAGTGATGGGTCCCTGTGACCCTGTCCTGAGGCCCTGCTCTGCTCCCTCCCAGTGGGCACTGGGGCCGGGCCGAGAGGCAGCCTAGGAACCGGGGAGGTCATGGCCTGATGAGCCAGGATGTCTCAGCCCTTAGCCCGATGTCCAGTCAATAAAATGGCTATTTCGGCTAGGAAAGATAGTTTGTCACTTGAGCTTTGAAATAAAATTTCACTGCGTATATGAGGTTACATTACTGGCTATTTTTGAAGTGACAGCGTACTTCTTAAAACAGGTTAGAATTTATTAGTCTCTCGGCTTTCTCTGAACTTTTTCATTTTCCGAGTGGAGCAAAAACCTTACTGTCGTGGAGTGGCTACGCCAACCAGATTCATGTCCTTGAGTAGGAGGTGGACCGGCAGCACTGTGTGCTGTCCCTTCGGGCCTCGGGCCTGCAGACCCTCCCTCAGCCGGACGTGGAATTTGAGCTGTCCTGCTAGAACCAAGGATGGGTTTGCACCCGGCCCTTGGCTGGTTCCCTTGCTCAGTGGCACACATCTCATGGGTAAATAGGTGTTCGGGGTCAAGGTGGAACAGAACGGTTCTCCTCGGCCTACGAGAGGCTGAAGCCCAGGCCCTCGTTGGCTCCAGCTTCTCTGACAGCCAGCACACCAGCCCTGGATGAAAACGTGCTGATTGCAAAGGACAGTGGTACAGAAGATGCTGCAAGGCACCTTCTGCCAGGATGTATCAGCAACCTGTGCATCCAGAAGTGTTCCGTGTGAATGAATATGCATGTGCAGATGGGTGACCAGCAGTTATCAACAGGAAGGACCCTGGGTCCACCATAACTAGGACATGTACTCTCTAATCTACTTTCCACTCCCCTCACCGATGATCCTCCCGTGACTGAATTCATGATGCATCTCTCCAGCTAGGTCAGGGTGTTTTGGTCCAGGTTTCCCCGTCCCTGGTGAAACGGCAGAAGACTCACTTCCACGACTTGCCCTGTGGCGCCTCAGTGATTCTGGGTAACAATGGCTTCATCTGGATCTACCCTACACCTGAGCAGAAAGAGGAGGATGCGGGGGGCTTCACTGCAAACCTGGAGGTGAGTAGACACCATTGCATCATTGCCTTGGAGTGGGGCGCAGGCTCTGCTCTGCTTCTGGTGGCAGCTTTTTGACTATATTGCGTTAGTTTGAATTTGTTTTGTTTTTCATTTTTATTATGAAATATATGTACAAAATGAATATATTATGTTTATATGTATTTTAAATAATAATAAAGCTACTTCCCATGTCCTCATAGCCAGGCTTAAGAAACAGTAACTTGACGTCTCCGATTACATTCTTAACTTCCAGATGAGAAGCATTCCTTTTTAAAAAAGTTTTATCACGAATGTTTCTAAATATTTTTAAAATCTGTATTTCCAATATTTATATAAATTAAATCATGTTGTAGGTATTCTAACGATTTGTTTTTAATTTTTATTTTCAGTTAAAGTTGGCATTCAATATGATATTAGTTTCAGGTGTACAGCATGGTGATTAGACATTTATGTAACTTACGAAGTCATCCCCCCAATAAGTCTAGTACCATCTGACACCATACACAGTTATTACACTATTATTGACTCTGTTCCCTGTGCCGTGCTTTACATGCCCGCGACTGTTTGTAACTGCCAGTTTGAACTTAATTCCTTCCCCTTTTCTGAGTTAGTTTGATTTCCCACTGGAGTGTGTCAGGAACATTAGTATTGTCTTCTCTTGCTGAGAAGATGAGGTCGGTGACTGATGGCAGAGTTGTGGGCAGTAACCAACAAGCCACTGAAGAAGCCACCCTTTTTAATCTCCCTTGGAGTTAGTTGTTTCTTTGGAGTCCCAGAGCATGCTGACTAGTATAAATGATTTCTGTGGTTTCCTGCGACCGTTCATTTCCTTTTTGGTCCTGTTTATGTATATTTCCCTCCCCTTTTCCTTTGCACCCCCGGTAGCCTGTCTCTCTTGCTGATCGAGAGGTGATCTCCCGGCTTCGGAACTGTATCGTCTCGCTGGTAACTCAGAGGATGATGCTGTACGATACCAGCATCCTGTACTGCTATGAGGCGTCCCTTCCACATCAGGTACCCTCCCCAGGGCTTCCCTTTTCCTCACCGAGCTGTGAGCAGGCATTGCACATTTATCGGTTTGCTCTAGTGTTTCCCAGGGATGGCAAGCACATCTCCCAGATACCTTTACCATGTCCACTGGTAGGGGCTGATCTGGTGGACAGCTTTAATGAGTATCTGGTAGATCTCTCCCAAAGATACTTGTAATATTCTCAACGTCTTGTGTTAGTGTGAAGGTTTGCGGGGGATAAAGGTGTCAGATGGACTAGTGTATGACAGTGACCCTCTGGACTTCATCCTGCCCATTCCAATTTCAGCTCTCTTTTTAGAGAATGCCAGAATAATACCTTTGTTCTTGTCAGCTACACCCTAGAGAACCTTGCTGATTTGTTAAGCTGGTTCTAGCAGATCGTACCTTCTAATCCTTAGCCTCTGAACAATGAAAGGCATATAGAAGGTGTATGTTAATCAGGCCTGGTATCTGCATTTGGCTTTGCTTGATGGTCTGCTTTTGTTTGGTTTCTTTTCTGAACAAATGCCTTTTCCTTTCTTTTTCAGATTAAAGACATCTTAAAGCCAGAAATAATGGAGGAAATTGTGATGGAAACTCGCCAGAGACTTTTAGAACAGGAGGGATAGAGAGAAGCATGTGGAGGACAGGACCGTGTGTACCTGTCGGGAGTGGTTTCCTGCAAAGGAAGAATCTGATTTGTGGTCCCTATGTGTGGCTCAGCAAAGACCCAGGATGGGAAAACTCATCACGAGACCTATGTCAGACTGCCTCCAGCCCACAGACCTTTCTTACTTTTGAAGGCAAAGCCTGGGAGAGGTGAACTGCACCGCTGGCCCCTTGGGCTGCCTGCAGATCCCCAGCACTGGGGTGGTTTAGGGTCTTTAAAAGCTCACTGTTTTCCAGCCGAGTGGACTCCCATCTTGGAATAAAACGGAGAATCTTTTGTCTTCTATTCACCATCGATTCACGAGGCACAATGCCCCCGTGAAATTGCCCCTATAAAAAACATGGCCCCCCTGACCCCCAAATTGTCTGCTTTGGCTTCCATTCCCACCTCCTCTACAGCACAAGGACGACATTGAAAATATAATTGGTAAAGTTAACCCACCAGTCAAATAGAAGCATAGTTAACGAAACAGACTTTTGTTTGGCTGGAATTGTCTTTCCCATTGCATGTTCCTTCTAGTGATAGATTCAGGTATATCCGTACCAGGCTGCCTTAATCTGTCCTGCCTTTGAAGGTGATTTGTAAGTAGCTGAATTATTGTAATAGAATGAATGTTTTGGGTGGTCTGATAAACATGAAATCAAAGGAAAATTGGAGATGGGAAAAGAAAAGCTGGTTTCTTCCTATAATTGAAGTAGTAAATGCATTAACTTTTGAATAATTCACGGTTAAAAGATAAAACCAAGATGCTGAAGTTCACACTGAGAAATGCCAGAATCCCTATGCATTGGTTTTTCTGATGTCTAAAAAATGGTGCCCTGATATAGGTTTTGGGAAAGAAATTTAAAGGCACTCTATGAAGTACAATTTTTATTTCATACGTGGTGAACTTTTTTACACATTCACAAATGCGGCGTTAACATCACTTTCTGTTCTTGCGTTCTTTGTAATACTTGGGAGCTGAGTACAGTCAAAGGAGGGCTAAATTCTTCTGCTCTACTTAGGTCACCTAGTAAAGTTTAAACCTAGGACAGTTTCAATGGTTGTAACGCTGAACACTGCATTTGACAATTTTGCAGTATAACTTGGCTTTTTTGTTAAATGGTGTAATTCTTTATAATGTTACTCAATAGACAATTTTTTCTCACTCTTTTTCTGTCCCATATGTATCAGCCATTTTGAGGTGTTTCAGCAGACAACTGAATATTCTGTAGGCTATGTTGTAATTTTAGATTTGTTAACCTGCCATATTTTCAAGAACACATGGCAGGCCATGTACCTCTTGAGAGAAGGGAATGGGAAAGGGTGGGAGCCTGAATCCCTGGTTTGGTTTGCTTTTGACCAGGGTCCTATGTAAGCTTGTTGAAAGTTATCCTTCTCACGTGGTCTCTCCCAAGTTGCCAACCTATGCTGTCCATTCAGCATCTGCTGAATGGTGGTGCCTACTAAGTGGCAATAACAGGTTTGAAAACACCTTTCAATGATTAGTTTCTTTGGCCCACTAGAGGGCGCCCTTGTTAAGTGTATTCCAGCAGGTAAAAAAATGGAATGAACTGAATGGAATAAGGACAGTTCAATTACACTAGTACTGAATCCCTTTAGCAACTTGGTGGGTTGTTTTGCTTCATAAAAGGACAAAATTAGACTGAAATGAGTCACTAATGAAAAGAATAATGACATAAGGGATTTACTCAATATTTGGAAACAATTCTGACTCAGGCATATGCTGGGCTCTGGATTCTAGTTTAAGTCCTCAAAAGTATTCTACAGTGTTATACAGGGAGTAATAAAGAATGGTGCATTTCCAGAAATATAGTCTGGGCGTGGGCTCACCTGAAATTAGAAAATGGTGGAAGTAAAAAAATAGAGATTTGGGATAAGTGTTCGGATCGAGTGGCCTCTATACTCAGTTCCATGAAGCATAATTTCAACCTTTAATTGTGAAAACCAAACAAGATCTCATTTGATCCTCATGATAACCTTGTAAAGTTGGCAGGTATGACCCCCACTTGTAAGTGAGGAAAGCAATTCAGAGAATTAAAGTGACTGGATGAAACCTATTAGCAACTGTGAAATAGGTCTCAGCTCTAGAGAGGTATCAAGCAATCCTTCAGTCTATGGCCATGCCACCTTGAACGTGCCCGATCTCATCTGATCTCAGAAGCTAAGTAGGGTCGGGCCTGGTTAGTACTTGGATGGGTGACCACCTAGGAATATCAGATGCTGTAGGCATAAAAAATTAAAAAGAACAATCCTTCGGAGAATGGGTTGGACTTGCTGTGAATGGATATGAGTCCAGAAATTTTATTTCCAGCACTGAAACATACCTTGGACTGTTACTCATTAGCTCATTGCCTGTCACTCCCTGTGTGCTCTGGGAGGACAAGTATGAGTTGTGTGTGCCCGCAGAGGAGTGCTTGGCACAATAACTGCTTATCAAATATATATATTAGAGTTTCTGATTTGATTGCTCGATTTTAAGCTAAACTAGAGAATGAAGAATGAAGATGAGCAGAAAACAATGAAAACATGAATAGAAATAAAAAAGCAAGTTTCCAAAAAGAAAAATTTGGGCAGTAATCAGGATAAGATAAGGGGTAAAGGAACAAGGTTGTTGAAGTTTTAAGAGTGACTTACAAGCCAGGATAAGTTTGTCAGCCAGATTGTTTTGTGAGAGCAAAGCTAAACCAATTAACATCTGAATATAACATCAGTTCTGAATTCGGGCACAAATTTTCATATGCTTCACATTTGTTTCCGCCAGGTGACTATTTCTTTTTGAAGCTCACATAAAAACAATTCCCAATCCAGCAGAAATATTTCCAAAATACATAACATTAGATAACAATGTACGAGACCTATAATGCAGCTGTGGTTTTCCCCCTAATATCAGAACTTATTAAAAAGTCGGTTGTCTAAAATTAGGCCAACAGTTACTTGATAATGAATGGTACAGTGAAAAAACAATGGGCTTTGGTGCAACATCAATCTAGATTCAAACCCTGACTTTGTCACATACTAAGCAAGTGACCTTGAGTAAGTCACGTTTCTGAATATTTTCCCAACTGTATGATAGAAAATAGTATATATTGCATTGGGCTATAGTTAGGATTAAATGCGATGATACAATTTATGAAAAGCATAACTGTGGTGTAGAGTAGGCGCTGTAATGAGTGGATCCCCTCAGGAATGGGTACATCCTGGTCACGTAGATGCATCGCTCTGGGGGAGATACGGAGAGTAAAGAATAGGGAACCAGGGTGATTTTTAGTTGCAGAAGGTGGGTTCTGTCAGGTGTGGGTTTGTGTCTGAGTTACTGGCTAGCTCCGTAGGCCTGCTAGCCACCTGGGCATTTTCTCAGCTAACACCAGGATGTTTTCATCATATACACCTGTGAAATGAGGTCGTTTAATTGTAAAGGTTCCGCTCAAACATCTTATGATCGCGCCTGGCTTAGCCTTGGAGAGGCGTTAAACAAATGCTGTTTCTTTAATTGAGTGAGGCTCCTGATGCCCCAAAGAAACAATGAATTCTCTAGCAATATGTCGGATGCTTCCTAGTCATTTATTTTTCGCTAGTTCTAATATTTACGCTTCTTGGGGAAAAAGTGGAAAATTGGGGTCAGGGAGTGGGCACCGAATGAATACCTTGGTTTCCAGGAGCGAACCAAATTTTCTCCTTTAAAGAGACTCAAGGAAGTAATCCAACTCCAGTTCTGGGAAAATCCAATCCGCAGTTTTCCCTTTGCTTTGGCTCCTCGCGGGTCTTACAACCCGCGCAGGGGAGGCATTGGCCAGCCTTCTGCGAGGCCGGCGAAAGTCCACGGGCTCCCTAGACGGCGGGACACAAGCTCAGGAGCCGGGAGTAGAGGGCAAGAAGTCTCGGGCGCGCGCGGACAGGGGCGGGCGCCGCGGGACCACAACTCCCGGCATACCCTGCGGGCAGAGCCGAAAGCGGTTGGCTGGGGGCTATAGCCACTGCTTTCATCGACCAATAGGACGCAGGAGAGAGACCTGACCCGGATTATCGGGGACCAATGGTAGTACAGAGGAGGCGGGTGCTTCCTTACTACTCACCTTGCCCTCGGAAAAACCACGTTTAAAAGGTCGAACCGGGCCAGGTTCTGGAGGGCAGAGAGACCAGAGCGGGGAGACACCGGGGCGTCCCCGAAAGCGGCGCCCAGAGGCTTCCTGTCCTCGCGACGCGCGCTCCGGACGTCGCCGGGGGCGGGGTCAGGGGCGGAGCCTGGCCTCGTTGTGGAGCGGCTCGTAATCCATCATGGCGGCCGCGGGGCTCTGTGTCCGTCCCTAACCAGCACTGGAGCCGGAGCTGGTTCCTGGGTCTTGCGGCTGAGGAGCCCTTCCGTTGTCTACGGCCCCTACCTGCGGGGGGAGGCTGGGCCCCACGGCGGAGCTCGGGGGATGTGACTGCCTGGCGGCGGCAACGTCCGGAGCCGGGGGAGGGGGTGTCTTGGGCAGAGACCCCCGGGCTCGGGGCAGCTGAGGCGGCCGGGCCTCCTCCCCCCTCCGCCGTCTCCCGCCTTCGGAGCCGCGAGCGTCCTTCGTCCCTTACAGCCCCGCCCCGGCTGTGGGACCCTGGTGGTGGTCTCTGTTTCCCCCAGACCTGGGACACCCGGTTTCCTGAGGCGTGGAGGAGCGTCGCCCCCGAGTAAGCCGCCCGTGCCGCGCCCCGACAGCCTCCCTCTCACCCCGGAGCCGCCCCTCTCTCCGACTCCTGGCCCTAAGTTTGGCCTCGGAGCCCCCCATTCAAATCCCCTCCCTTCTGTCAAGCGGCTTCCTCTTCCCCCCAGGTTGCTCCCGGGAGCCACTAATGCCCTGACTTCTCCCAATGTCACCTACGGCCCCCCTAGTCTCAGCCCTGCCAAAAACTTTAATGCAAAGGAAAAGTCTGGACTCGTTTCACAGGCCTTTTAAAAAGCGGACTTAAAAGTTGCTGGCAATGCATTCCTTCTCGTCAGAGTGGAGGGCAAGCTCTCGCTGAAGCCTGGGTGACCCGTGTCCTTTTCGGGAGAGCAGGGTAGAGGAGCAGGAGCGGCGGCTAGTTCGGCAGGAAATTTGTCGGAAGAGGAAGAAACTAGGGAGTGGGTGACTTCCACAGGAAAAGTTCGGCAGAAGCATCCAAAGACGATCAGCATTTCCTTTATGTGTGGGAATCGAAATGACTTCAGTATTCCCGACCCTTCTGCGGCATCCCTTGTGAATATTTGTTTCGGTTTTTCTCCTTGAAAGGAAAGAGACTGCTAATCAGCCAGTGAAAGACACTTAAAATCAAGAAATTCGGGGGTAGCCCTGCAATTACATTACTTCGAATCGATCAACTGCGAAAGTAATCGGAACTCCTGTTTACATTTGTCAGCCTAAAAACTGCTTCCTTTTGTCATGGAAGGTGTTTTTTGCGATTGACCTCAATTACTGACTTGTGGAGATGCAGTGAATGTGAAATCCCACATATACGTGTATACAGTTGTCCTAAGCTCACTGACCATTCTGAAAGATCTGGAACCCTCTCCTGGAAAGAGGTGCCTATCGTTACTTTATGGGGCAGCAGCCTGGAAAAGTTCTTGGGGACCAAAGAAGGCCAAGTTTGCCTGCCCTACACTTTATCAAAGGAGGAGGGAAGAAGGAGTCATCGAGGCATGGGGGTCCACACTGCAATGTGTTTGTGGAACACGGTGAGTGTTTTTCAAGCTTTCTGGTCACATTTTCCCTTATGCTTTCAGCTTTAGGAATGCATAAGGAACTGTACTGAACAGTGCTTGTGCTGATACCTTTTAGTTCTACTCAGAACTTCTGTTACTGTAGTTACCACTTAATTTCCGGTATTAGCTTCTTTGTAGAGAAAAAGTTACTTGGTGACTGTAAGACTTTATTCAAAAATTTTTTGAGTTGCTTATTTCTTGCCCGATTCCCCTTCTGTCTGACTGTTGACCTTGGACAAGCCATTTTACTCTTCCAGTTTGCTATGGAGGTTGGACTTACGTGGTTTCCCAGGATCCATAGTCCATGATTGTGCTCTAAGCTAAGGCATGGGCTTGTCCAACCCCAGGTGCTTAGATCCTTTACTGTTTTTATATACTGAGAGTGGTTTGTGCTCCCTAAAGCTTAAGAGCCGCAGATCCTAGTCGACACTAATAACCTCAGCCTTTTCAGTCGTAAGTAGGACTTGAAAGTACGCACTTTGGAGTTAGGTAGGAAAAATGGAGTGGGGAAGCAGCGTTCTTCTTGAACTGAGTATACCCATCTTCTAGTTCTTCATCTTCTACAAAGAGTAATCCTTTCCCCGTGGATGGAGCTTTCTTCCTTTCTCTCCCTGTTTCAGATGACATTTGGGGCAAGAAAGGTAGTCTTTGACATTTTTATGGACATAATTGGCATTTGAATTCTCACAGTACACGCTATACTATTCACTTCCAGTAATTCTGTGTGAAGGTTTCGAGCTAAGGGTCAGCTTAGACCGACGTCTATGATAGGGGCTGGCTGCGAACCAATTAATTAGGGTCCTATTGGTACCGTTGCAGCCTGACATTTTTCAGACTGTGTAGTTTATAATAAAATATCAGTTGAGTCCACCCACTCTATCAGCAGATGTAAGATGTGTGCAAGGGGCATATACTTTGAAATTCAATCACAAATACCTCTTAACAATGGGTGACTACAGTAAACGCAGGTCTCTTCAGTGAACTTGCATTTGACAGTTGAGGTTTCACTTTTCTTACAGAAAAATATTCACTAAATCTGAGTACTTGGATTTTACTTTGCCTTGAAACATTTAGTTATATTTTGGCATTGGTTTTAGACAGGCAAATATGGTGATATGTTATATTCTTACGTGGCGCAAATCCAGCATTTATAAAGTGAATTATTTACACTTTTAGCTAGTGACAATCACACAGGCTTAGATAGCGAAAATTGGTACAGACTTTCTGGAGAGCTTTGGCCAAACTTATCAGAATTCAAAATGTACATATACCAATGACCCGGCAATCTCACTTCTGGGAAGCAGCCTGGTGTAGAACAGTGTCCTCTAGACGTCCCTGGTATCCCTTCGGGGATCCGGGATTAAAACTGCACGTTATTGCAGTATTAAGATGTCATTTGCACTTTTTGTACTAATGATGCAGAAGTAACGTAGGCTCCTTAGCATGAATCAAGGCTGTGGAACCTAACGATACTAGTAGCTATTATATTCGTGCCATGCACTCATAGTAAAAAAGAAAATTAACTTAAAAATTTTTAATTTTCCTTAAGAATGTCCTTGATGAAGCAGCAAAGATTTATTAATTTTATTAAGTCTTGGTCCTGGTTTGTGTGTCTTTGTAATATTCTGTGGGATGAAATGGGAAGTGGGCATAATGCATTTCTGTTGCATTCTGAGCGAGGCATGATGGTTATCTCTAGGAAGAGCAATGGGGTAGTTGTTTGAATTGCAAGTGAGACTAGCAGCTTTTCTCATGGACCATCATTTTTACTTGAAACTATGACCCACAAAACTATAACCCACGAACTATAGTTATTCAGACTAAAAAATGTATAAAGGAGTCTTTCAAGGAAAACAACTGGTACTATCTGTTGCCGATGATAAAAATTGTAGATTTCCAGTGAAAATTAAGATTTTGGAAAACATATCTGCTACGGCATTGTAGAGATTGGTGGCAAATACAAATATGGTATTTTTATATCTTTATTTGGAAGATCTACATAATTCAGTGAATCAGTATTTTCTAAATGATCCACACGTGATATTATAAAATCACACACAGGTAAGAGATCCATTTAAGGTGTGAGATGAAGCAATAGCTCTTAATGTAACAGAATACAGAAGTTCATCGATAACAGTTTTAGATTCTATATCACAACTAACCTTTAAGAAATAACCACTAACCGAGTTTTGGTGTATCTTCAAAGAAGACTATCTCCAATTATCTAAAAGCAGGGTAAAACAGTTGTTTTTCAGTCATAATAAAACTTTATTTTAAATGGATAAATAAATATTTTCAGTTTAAACGTCTAATATGATAAATATTGATGAGATAACCTATATAAACAGAAGCTCATTGGGGTCCTCAATAATTTTCAAGAGTGTCAAAGAGGTCCTGAGATAAAAAAATGTTTGAGAACCGCCGCTATGGAAAGCCTATCAGAAAATCACAAAAGGATGTTTATTAACGGCATACTGTAAAGTACTAACACTAAAAGACGTCCATGTAGTAGTAAGTGGAAAAAAGCAATTTGGAGATCAGTCTGCATGGCATGGCCCCATTTTTGTAAAATAAAAATTGTTTGTACATGCAGAGAAAAAGTGTGGAGGGATTTAGACTGAAATAGTTATCGCTAAGGAATTGGAATTTAGATTGAATAGGAGAAGACTTTTTACTTTGCATTTGTGATATTCCAGATTTCTTTTTACAACAAATTTGTGTTACTTTGTAATACAAAAAATACGAAGATTTAAGAGATTCAAAAACTGAACTGATGGCAGCCCCACCAAAGAGTCACTTCTTTGCAGCACCTTTTTATGAAGGAATTTGCCTAAGTCACATTTATAAATCAGTTTTTTTGGACCCTGGGTATTCTTTTTCTAGGAGAGCATGAGCATAGTCTTTGTTACAAATTGGTTTTGATCTTTCATAGGCTGATCTTCTAGAGTTGGTTAACATCCATATAGGTCAGAGTTAAAAACTTGCAGTCACACAGTGTCAGATCAGACGTGAATCTGGAAGCCAAGAATAATGTGGCATGGTGGTGGTGGTGAATCTGAGAGCAATGGGCACGCGGCAGCTTTTTGCCAGGATCAGAAGAGCTGGTCATATGTAGGGGAAAAAGGAAACTATGATGTGATTTCATGTATATTTCTTCCAAATTTCAGTGGCTTGACTAAGAAAATTCACTTTTAGGAGAATTGATAAAACAGGGTTGAAAACATTGACTAGTAAACTGCTTTTCCATCTGTGTTTCTTTCTTTCTTCAATGAATATTTGTTGAGCACACACCATGTACCTGGTCGTGTTTTAGTCATTGGTGGTACATTAGTGAATAAAAAACACATCCCTGCCCTCCTATAACTTACATTCTGGTGCGAGGAGACAGGCCATAAATAAGCTAAGTAAGCAGAGTATAGAGTGTTAGATGGTGGTAGGTGTTGAGGAGAAAAATAACAGAAAATAGGAAATGCTGGGAGGGGGTTAGAGAGACCCCACTGAGAAGGTAGCATATGAGTAAAGACCTGAAGGAGGGAGGGGTGTGAAGAAGCCATAGAAATATGGAGTAAAACGTCTCAGGCAGAGGGAACCAGGGGGCAAAGGTTCTGAGGCAGAGCTTGCTCACTCAGCATGTTCAGGGGAAAGCCCAGAGTAGCTGGAGCAGAGGGGGCAGAGGGAGAGTTGTAAGAGATGAAATGGAGGGGAGTGCAGGGAGAATGGGGGGCCTCGATGGCCATTTTAAGTATTTTGACTTTTACTCGTGTGGTTTGGAAGCCTTTGGAGAATTCTGAGGGAGGAGCTTCGGGACCTGATTTATGCTATAATAAAACCTCTCTGGCTGCTGTGTTCTGAAGGGGAGCCAAGGAGGAAGCAGGGAGTCCGCTTAGGGCTTATTGCCCTAATCTAGGTGAGAATGGTGGTGGCTTGGACTAGGGTGGTGGCAGTGGTGAACGGGTCAGTGCTGAAGGCACAGCTGACTGGATTTGCTCTTGGATAGGTGTGAAATACGGCATGTGCGAGGAGTCAGATGACTCCAAGGTTTTGGGACTGAATGACTCTAAAACGGTTGCGTTTTACTGAAATGTAGACTAGAGGAGCAGGTTTGGGGATGTGGGTTGGGGGCAGGTATGGCGATCAGGAGCTTCTTTGGGGGCAGACTGCATCTGTGATTCCTTTAAGGCAGGAGTCCCCACCCCCCGGTTCACCGACTGGTACCTGTCCATGACCTGTTAGGAACTGGGCTGCCCAGCATGAGGTGAGTGGCTGGCAGGCAAGCAAGCAAGAGCAAAGCTTCATCCGTATTTGCAGCCGCTCCCCAGCGCTGGCGTCACTGCCTCAGCTCCACCTCAGATCAGCAGGCAGTAGATGCTCACGGGAGCGCAGGTCCCTGGTGCCACAAAGGTTGGAGACCGCTGCTGTAAGGCATCCAGGTGGATACGTCAAAATACGCAGTTGAATTTACAAGCTCAAATTCGGGATAGTGGTCCAGGCTGGACAGAGAACCTGGGAGTCATCAGGTTATTGATGGTATTTAAAGCTGTGAGAACCAACGATGTCCCCAAAGGAGACATTTCCATGTATGTGTCTTATATATGTAAGGTGATATTCAGTAGTTTATACGATTAAGACTTTACATTTTTATCTGGGATTAGTTCTAATCTTTTGGTGGGGGGAGGTGTTAACATTCAGATTTTGCATGGGAATGATTTTAACTTGTCTTTAAGTTTTAAATTCTGTTTCTTTTCTAAATCAAAAAATTGCAGATTTAGTTTACATATATACAGTGGAATATTACTCAGCAATAAAAAAGAAAGAAATGTTGCCATTTGCAACAACATGGATGGGCCTAGAGGGTAATAGGCTAAATGAAATATCAGACAAAGGAAGACAAATACCATATGATTTTGCTTATCTAAAAACAAAACAGACAACTCTTGGATTTGTCTTGGTATTGAATAGATTCAGCATAAACT